TTTGGCATTGCAAGACTGGTTGAACCGTGGCACTACGCCCTCGTTGGAAGCTGCACTTCGGCCTTTGACTCCGGCGGTTCTTGATAGCTGGAAGCAGCACTACCAGAACGACCACATGCCGGCCAGGCGAGATTGCAAGCATTGTGTTCGCTCAGCTGCTCGAAGCAAGCCCCACAAGCGCATCGTGCATCCTGAGGCCTACACCCTCAGCGTGGACTTGTCTGGCAAGATGGTGCCTGGCTTTGATCAAAGCCGTCAATCCTGCAAGTACATGATGATTGCTGTGTACACGTTCCCCGTGGACCGTGCTGGACGCCCTTTGGCGGAGATGGAAGGTGGCTTTCCTTTGGAAGGGCAGGCGGATCATGACCTGCCACCTAGTGATGATCTGGAGTATCCTCAGCCTGATCTCAACGGAGATGATCCCGGAGATGCCCTGCTGAGAGAGGAGCCGGTTGAAGAAGCTTCGAATGAGGGGGAGGACGCGGCGGTGCGAGCCTGTCAGGCCTCGTTTGACTCCTGGCATCAGTTGGTGGAGGACTCCAAGGACGTGGCCGTGCGAAATTTGACCTTTGTGGAGGTGCTCAATGGCCGCGCTGTGAACAACATCCTTCAAGCCTTGGCTCGCATCTATGCGAGGCTCCGAAGCCTAGGCCTTCCAATTTACAGGCTTCACAGTGACAGGGCCCGGGAACTGATCTCTGCTCCGGTACGCCGCTGGACGCTGGACCGGGGCATCGTGACAACCCTCACAACAGGGGGATCTTTCAAGACGAATGGCAGGGTGGAGGGAGAGTTGGGTGTGGTCAAGAAGCACATCCGTACGGTAGTTGCGGCCACAGAAGTGGGCTTGGACAAATGGCCACTAGCCGCCATCCACATTGGCGAACGCAGACTTCGTGGTCAGTTGCGAAGTCTGGGCTTTCCTTCTGGCCCGTTGCTGAAGTTTGGGGCAAAAGCCTTTGCTCTGAAGAAGTCATGGCAGGAGCGCTACCAGCCGTGGCGTGAAGTTCGTGATGAGGTAGTCATTTTGGGTCCTGCAGTTCAATCCTCATTGACTACTACCAGCTACTATGTCCAGTCGGTGACCTCGCATCGCTACTTCTACACCGATGATGTGGTGATCCCTTCGGCCGATCAACCTGAGGCCAATGATGCGATCGTGCACCTTCCGGAGATTGGTGATGCCGCTCCTCGGCCGATGTGGCATGGCGCAATTCCACGACGCCGGTTGAGAGAAAAGACGGCAATACCACAAGTTTCCATGATCCACATGGAGGGGGAGGCTGGTGGTGGGGTCAATTCAAGTTGGTGGCACCGCTGGCTATGTGACCATCGGGAATTTGCAAGTTGGTGGCAGCGGTGGCTTTGTGACCATCGTGACAGCTTTGAGATCATGATGCCAAATGATGTTCGCCTTTTCAGTTTGGAGGTCAGCAGTGACAGCTGGACGATTGAAACGCCTGAGAGGACAAGTTCTTCAAGCTCAGGTGAGGATGACATCCAAGGGGTTCAAACCAGTTCAGGTTTTCCGGTGGTGGATCTTCTCGGCGGAGGGGATGCGGAGGGGGTGCCTAACAACCGGTGCGGTGGCTCAAGCCCGGTGACCCTGCAGAGAGGAACCCTTGGAGAACATCCTCACCATAAGATCAAGTTGCTGAAAGCATTGCAGGCGAATTTGGCTGCCTATGTGTCCGAAGAAATGGAACATTTGGACGTCACCATCCCGGAGCAAGGCTGCTATATGGAAGTCCTGTCAGAGGCCATCATGTACAAGGTGGAGGTGGAAGAAATGCTCCTGCAGAATGATCGTGACGTGGATGAACTTGCGACCAAAGAGCTGGAGGAGGAGTTCCTGGTCACGAGGACTGTCGGCAGCAAGGAGGTTTGGGATGACTTTGAGAATTGGGTCCCATCCATCACTGCCGAGTACAACCAGCTGGTCAAGACAAAGGAAGCAGTGGAGCAAATCACAAAGCGAGAGCTCCACCAACGGGCAGAAGCACAAGGAAAAACCATAGAGCTTCTTCCGGCCAAGATGGTGTACACCCGCAAAGCAGGAGCTGGAGTACGTCGGGCAAGAGCTGTATGTTGTGGCAATTACTCCGAATCCAGGTTCAGTGGAGATTGCTACGCTGGAGGAGCTGATGGCTGCCAAGTGCGAGCTCTGGTCCGCACCTCGGCTTTGAAGGGGTGGACACTGGCAGCAACCGACATCAGAGTCGCTTTCTTGAACGCCCCAAGAAGGGAGGATGGAAAGATGGTGGCAATGGAGATTCCCAGTGTCTACAAGCGCCTTGGCCTCGCCCGAGAAGGTGAAGTGTGGCTGGTAAAATTAGCCATGTACGGCCTCACAACGTCCCCAAGGGATTGGTCGCAGTACAGAGATCGCACTCTTCCAATGGTCAGCTGGGTGCGGGAAAGAGAAGGGCGAAATGTCAGGGGCTACTTCGTCAAAACAGCTGATGAGAACTTGTGGCGGTTGGAGGAGGCCGACACGGAGACTGGTGAGAATCATTGGACAGGTCTGATGTCTGTCTATGTTGATGACATCCTCATCAGTGGCGAAGACAGTGCAGTCTCAGCAGCCCTGACATCCTTGCAGGCCACTTGGACTACATCCAGCGTAGAAAAGGCAACACCTACCTCTCCTGTCCACTTCTGCGGCTTTGAGATCTCTGCCGATGAGCATGGTGATGGTTTTCATTTGTCACAGCAGAAGTATGAGCAGGAGATCCTCACACGCTGGAATGTCAAGGAAGCCTCAACCTTCCCAAACTTCAAGGTCAGTGAGACCGACATGGAACCGCCAGATTCGGTGGACAAGGTGCAGATTCGCGAGGCACAAGCTCTTGCAGGGTCCCTCTTGTGGCTTTCAACCAGGTCACGGCCAGATTTGGCCTATGGTGTGGCGGCCCTCAGTCGGTTGGTGACTCGCAACCCTGCAAAGGCCATCGAAATCGGCCAGTCCTTGCTCGCCTATGTGAAGGGCACTCCTGGCGACTTGCACTATCCCCAGAAGATCAAGAAGAAATGGGGGTCAAGGGATCAGCTCAAGATCCAACGACATGGAGGCCTACTGGAGGTGTTCGCCGACATAGCGTACGGCACTGGCTCCAATCACCGAAGTGTGCAAGGGCTAGTGATTTGTTTCGCTGGAGCTCCTGTGGCATGGCAAAGTGCCACCCAACCGTTTGTGACCCACAGCACAGCTGAAGCAGAGTTGGTTTCCTACTGTGAAGCTCTATGCACAGGTCGTGCAACGGAAGCCTTGCTGTGCGCTATGTGGGGGGAGCCGCTGGACAATTCGAATGTCTTCGAGCGGGTCATCTATGGTGATAATGCCGCAGCCATCAGCCTCGCCTACGGCAATAGTGCTACATCCTGGAGGACCCGGCATTTGCGTGTGAAGTCCAACATCCTGAAGGAGGCACTTGATGAGCAGGGCTCGTATCCAGGTGGCTGTTGGAAGCTGGCCCATCTTCGTGGCACTGAGCTTGTGGCCGATGGCATGACAAAGCCGCTCCTTGGCCAGAGTTTCGCAGGTTTTTTTGGTGATTTGGGTTTGAAGCCTCCGGAAGTGAAAGTGGCCAGCTTGAAGCTTGGTCAAAACGCCCCTCCTGCACCAGACCATCAGTTGGCTGTGAGAGCAATTGTGGCTGGGAGCGCCTTGGTTCGTGCAGCTGAAGCTGGAGGAAGTCAGGACTCCGATGCAGTTTTTGGAGGTTTGATGTTGTGTGGCATAGTGCTAGTGCTCATTGGGGCAATCTGGGTGGCGAAGGCGGCTGTGAGTTCTTTTGGGTGCTGCCTACGCCGATTGCATGGAGTCACTTGTGAGCCACCCAGTTCATCGGACCTGCCTGAAGCTGATGAAGGGGCCCATACTACTTCCTTGCGACCCAGGCGGGCACGTTCGTGGGGGAGGACAGACCAGGGCACGAATGTGGTTGAAGCCACCGAGACGGAGGAAGAGACGGAGGAGGGAGCTCAAGCCATCCGAAGAAGGCGAGCGGCAAGGCCAAGTGATGATGATGATCGCGATGATCGAGAAGGGACTTCTATGACAGGGAGAAGGTCTATGTCCCAGACATCAAGGCGGCGATCGGGCTCGCTGCACGGCACATCATCACGGTCGATGAGGAGGAGATCAAGTGAAAGCAACTCTGTTGAGTTGCAAGCGGCCAGCGAGGCTGCTGATGATGCCGTGCAAGCTGCCAGCCAGGCAGCTGAAGGGGCAGAGCGTGCTGCTGAGAGCGCGCACCAGGCGGCCGCTGCAGCGAATCTAGCTGCTGTGAACGCTGAAGCAGCGACAACTATGCTTCAGCATGCACTGAGAGCCAAAGCGAAGGCTTCTCCGGTGGTCAGGCCGATCCGAAGGGTCGAAGAAGAGCCGACCAACCCATGGAACAGGTTCCAGCGGCATAATGCCAACCAAGGGTGGAACCTGGACAAAATGCGCGCCGAATACTATCGCGCGAAGAGCATGAGCAGTTTGCCTTGAGCCCCAAATTTTCGAGATCTCGTGAAAACGAGAGGGGGAGTCTGTTCGGTGAGAGAACATCGGACATGTCACGACTTCAGGCATTTTGTGTTCGAGAAAAGGCGCGCATGCCTTTAGTTCACGAGACTGTAAATGTGTGCAGTGAGGTCCCCTCGTCTTCAGAATAGGCTCGCTGATACGATTGAACAGTAAGTCTGCAAAGTGCACAACCGACGCGAAGACCGGTCATTTTGTTCTAGCTACCAAAGTACGCTACGCTGAACGACAAAATGTCGTAAAATCCGATTTTTCACTTTTTGATTGACATGCTGGATTGATTTTATGAACCACACGTGTCCAGAAGTTTCGGTTTAAGCCGAGACGCGGGAAGCAACACATAGAACCCATGACTTGCCATGGCCAATGTCAGCCAAAATACACTGCGAGGGCACCAGGGGCAAAGTTAACAATTGGAGGATGCGCAACATTGTTTGCAGAGCGATTGTGCAAATGTTGATCCATGCGCTGCTATGTCGCCAACGCCCGGAAACGTTTGTTCCTAGTCGAGGCCCGGCTTCAGAACTTGAATTGCAAGTGCCGCCAGAATCTTGGAATGCAGAGAGTTGCGTTAGAAGGTCCTCCACCCCACCGGGAAGTCTGGGCGAACGATGTGTTCGTAGAACAAAAACAGGTAGTAAGATTGGATGTTGATTTTCATTGAGTTTTCCGACGTGGTGGTTTAGCTTCACCATGCTTGATTGAATGAACTGGGGGTGTTGCGACTCAATGTTCGTGTCGATCACAGGAACTCGACTGAAACCACCTGCCATGGATGGAATGCTTTCTGTGCAAATTGGAATGAGGCCTTATGCAAATTGTAATTCTACACACTCGCAATCTTCAATCACACATTGTTCAAATTTTGTTCCCCCGAGAGGCCATTGCCCGAAGACCGATCGCTGTTGCTCCAAAGCAGCACAAAGGTTTGAGTCTTGTTCTTTCAGCGAGGTTGTCCTCTTTTTGCTCAATATGGGTGGTAGTTTAATTTCCTTTTGTTGGTTCCTGTTCTTCGTTCTTTGCCTTATTGATTTGCGTTGTCTGATTTGTTGTGATATTGGATGTTGTGCGTGCCAGCCAGCCATGCTGCTAGAACACATCATTTGCTTGCTAAAATTGAGGTGGCATTCTTCAACGCCTCCAGCACCATTACATGGCTTACTGTCTTTGGTACCCTTTCATATAGCCTGGAACATGCCCAGATTAACTTGGCCGACTATGCTGCATCCTCGCTGCACTATGCGCTCTTGACGTGTTGCAAGATGAACGTCAAGACTCTTTTGGACACCTCGTGTGTGACATGTTGTTTCCAACGAGGTTGGATGGCTGGCCATGCGTTCGACAGTGAAGCTCCGGCAGCCTTTGAATCTTGCACTCGCTACTGTTTTGTCCAAGTTTGAGCCGAGACTCTCAATGCTCAAGGTGGCACCATTGGGTTGGGCATGTTGGAGATGTGGATCGTGTCAAATGCTTTGGTGCGTTTAGTTCAGTTGTGCTTTTGCAGAACTTGGACTTTCAAGCTTAAATTCTGAAAAAATACAATAATGCTACTTGACACCTGGATCGTTTAGTGCATTGGGAGTTCCTGCTTTGATTGAAATTCTTGCGCCGCCTGGGCAGGTTTCGCCGCTATTAACAGCCACTTGGCAGAAGTTGGTCTTGGACATTCTTAGCAGGCTTCAGAATAATCATTCAGCCAAGGCTGCCACAGCGGATGCAGAGACTCGAAGTGCGATAATGTCCGTCTGGGCCAAACTGTTTCGCTGCCGCTTTCTTGGTGTTGGTGGAAGACATGTCCTGCGGCAGTTCCTTCAGAGGAGTGTGAAGCTAGCAAGCTTTGCAGAAGGTCCTATGGATCGTTGTGGATTGGCATTCTTCCTTTGCAACAAATTCACAAACGTTTGTGTTCTTTTGACCGCAACAGAGACTTGGCAAGAGCTGTTCCAGTTCTATTTGAGTTTGGTGATTTTGACACAGGCAGGCTGTATGCTAAAGGGTTGTGAACACATCTAAAATCAAAAGGCTTCAGAAGGCTTCTGAGCACTCCGTCGACATGTCCAGTTTGAAGAGCACAGAAAAAGGTCCCTGGTTTTGTTTTTCGTTCAGGATTTTGGAACTGTATAAACGGGTCGGAGTCCCAGGCAGCTTCGATGCATGGCTTGGACCTGATAGCTTTGGGTTGCGGGTCCTTCGTTGATTTGCAAAAGGCCAGCAAGGATTTGTTTGTGGGATTCCTTCGAAAAGAATCCGAGGGAGTTTGTGGAAATTTGAGGGAAGCAAAGCATGACTTGGCCAGGTCTTTCACAGCTAGCAGTTCTTGCACAGATCACATGAGTTTTGCATACAGTCTTGCAGGATGCTGGTCTACTGGCTTGTGCGAGCGTCCTGAATGTGGCATTTGTGCCATGACCATCCAATGGCCAACTCAAACGAACATTAGTCGATAATCCGTGGGTTTTTACAAGAAACACAAATGAATGTAGAGGCTACCGAGACTACTGTTGAAGCAGCAACAACTGGCTCTTTTGAATCAGGTTGAATCCACCCTGCCGGTAGTCAGGTACCATTACACTTCTACGGTGCTGTGGGAGCGGTTCAATTCCTGGAAGTCACTTCATCCCATGCATGGCAAGAGCTTAAGGCAGGTTGTGGGTTGCTTGACTCAGTGGTTCTATCAGTTCAAATGTTCGTAGTTATATAGATCGTCCTTCACCAAGTCACATTCTCGCCTATCATTCTAATGCGTCGACATGCAAACTGTGGTTTCTAGATTTTTTGAAAGTTTGTCTCATAGCATTCATAGATTCATAGCATGTGAACGAATATTGATAGAACTCCATGAATAGGCAGCCGCTCACGCAAGGATGACACGCACAAATCTAGGCCCAAGTCATTTGAAAAAGGCCCGCAGTTAGCTTTTCACGGTAGCGGAGCGCTGGCCGTAAAGCGCCGGCGCTCCCTACACCACGACCTCGAGTTCTTCGAGGAGATCCTCCGCCACGACGAGGAGCCGATCCAGGGTGAGGCAGGGAAGCCAGCTTTTGGATTTTGGAGTTGCTACTTTTAGCCTGCCTAGCTGGTGGTGCAGGCGATAGCTTCACCCAGAAAGTGCGCTACTACCAGGGTGGAAGCTTGGTGGCCAGAGGAGACAAGTGGAAAGTGAGACGTGTACACTGTCTTGGTGGAGGCTGAAGGTTATGTGGGGAGGTTGCGCTGGACGAGAAGCCAAAGGAACGTTCGAGCTTCCTTGATCGTGCAAAAGAGGAAAGAAGGAAAGAGGAAAGGGGAGACGAAGCAGCTGGTTGTTACCGTCCCGGCTTGCTGGAAATTCCTCAAGAAGGTCGAAAGACTGAGGGACCAAACAGATACAGAAGACATCTGTGAGCTGTTGGCTCATTGGGACTACATCAACTTGCTCTCCTACGGCGGCCTGGTCTTCGAGGAGAACGTGACTGAGCCCAAGGTGACGACGAAGGCCTATTTGGCCTATATCTCATACCTCAGGACAATGGCAGAAGAGAGCTTACGAATGATTTCACAGGCCCTGGAGCGCCTGACTGTGAACCAGACTACAACGACATGGTCAAGGCACATGAAGACTCCGGACCTGTTCAAGCCAGAGACCAGAGATCAGGAGATCAAGCAGTGGAGCGACTGAAAGTTCTCCTTCGTCAACTATGTGAAGGGGATTGAACCACAGATGGCCCACAGCATGAAGATGGTGGAAGACAACCTTGGAGGTGACTTCGCCTTTGAGGACATGACCGATGCAACAAAGGCCATGGCTGTACGCCTCTATGGAGTCCTGACCTCATACCTGAGAGGGAGACCCCTCAAGCTGGTGCGCCATATGAAGGATGAGATTGGGTTCGAAGCTTGGCAGCGCCTATTGAAGGAGATGCAACCGGCTACAAGAGCACGGCCACTCGCTTTGCTGACTCAGCTTTCCCGTGTGCAGTTTGCTGAGGGAAAGACCATCTCAGAACAGCTACCACAGTATGAGGCCATCGTGACCGAGTATGAGAGGATCTCAGGACATGTGTACGCTGATGATGCCAAGGTGGCTTCAATACTACAAGCTGTACCTCCACACCTTCGGGCCCATCTACAGCTGTGGATCACGGACACCACGACCTATGAGCAAGTGAAGAACAAAGTGATGGAGTTGGAAGCCCTGTCAACCAGATGGGGATTCCTCGAACAGCCTCAGCCTGCCTACGAGAGCAGGCATGGATGAAGCCACACCTATGGAAGTGGACTACATCAGAGGAGACAAAGGAAAGAAAGGAGGAAAGGGCAAGACGAAGGATAGCAAAGGAAAGTCCAAAGGAAATGACAAAGGAAAGACGAAGACAGAAGGTAAAGGCACATGGAAGAGCAGTGAGAAGGGTAAAAGCCAATGGGAGAAAGGTGGCCATGGAAAGAAAGGAAAGAGTTCAGACAAGGGTGGAAAAGGGAAGACCGGCGCATGTCATGTGTGCGGCAAAACCGGTCACTATGCAAAGGACTCCTGGTCAAAACGCGCAAATGTGAGTCAGATTGAGGAGCAAGCGACAACCACTCAGAGCAATCCAGGTGGTGTCAAGGTCACTCGAGATTTTTGACCTGACCACCCCAAGAGGTTCAGATTCAGATGGACACCACCCATGGCGAGGTGGCGTGATCCGCACTGAGGACGAGATCGAGGCCTATACATGGAGACGGATGACGATGAGGAGAAGTTCATGGACCATAGAACCGGCGATACTAGTTCCTGATGGTACTGTCATTGTGGCCATGGACCTACAAGATGAGGATGAAGAGCTCTATGTGCAGATGGTGAGGCATGAGGAGACAGAGGCGAAAGAACCATGCCTGATCACGTTGGACAGTGGAGCAGATGTGGCAGCGTGCCTATGCTGATGTTGGGCATTGGAAAGCAGGTTCACAAGAGCTCAGGATGATAGATGCTCAAGGAAAACGCATAGCGCACGATGGGGTGACAAAAGCACGACTACGGACAACCGCCAGCCAGGGCAAGACCATTGAAATGGTGGAGGATTTCATCCTCGGCAACGTGCAGCACCCAATCCTTTGTGCAGGGAAACTACTGAGGAAAGGATGGAGCATCTGCAACACCCAGCATGGCCTGAGCCTGAGAAATGAAGAGAAGGATGTGTCAGTTCCAATTCGCAACGAGCGTAATTCGTTGCAATTTGAAGTCAATATATATTTGAGCGTGAAGGATGATGGAAAGGCTGGCCAAACTGCAAGAGTGATGATGCTGAGAGGGACGCTGAGCAAATATGTTGAGGAGTTGGAAATGGCGCCCGGATGGCGCAGACTCCCAAACGGCATTGTAGCTTATAGCGATCCAGTGGCAGTGGCTATGACGGACCCCAGAGGCCAGATCGAGGAACACTGGAGGGCGAGAATGACCCTAGTGAAGGATGCCGATGGCATGTGGAGCTAAGTGGAAAACATTGGGATTTTTTTTGTGGACTTGGGTCCTACTGCATTCAGGAAGTTGGGAACTGGAGGGCCCCTTCAAACATTGAGCTTCTTCGCACCCTCAGAGATGGAGGACTACTGGGAACTGAACTCTGAGGTTCCCATCAGGCCATACCCGGAGGAGGAGATGAGAGAGCCACAAGGTCGACTTGACTGGTCAGAGGATGAGAGAGAGGAGGAAGAGGAGCTCGAGATGCAGTTGGAAGCCCAAGAAATTGAAAAGACGGTTGTGGCTGATAGGCCCAATGAGATCGAACTCGATGAGGTGATCTACGCGGAGAAGATGTCTGTGAAGGAGTTGCAGATGGCCTGCAAAGCGTGAACCACCCTTTGCGGGAAGCAAGAGGAGGCTGCTCGACAGGCTGTTGGCCTTCAAGATCAATATTGAGAAGAAGCTGAAGCTCTCCATAGCCAACAAGTTGTTCCAAGAGCAGCAGAGCATGCCCATGACCCTGGGACAACCAAAGTTGCCAACAATGAAGGAGCAAGAAGCGCGTTTCGTGACCCGCATCCCCTATGCTGCATGGTGTCAAGCTTGTGTCGCTAGCCGCGCCAAAGAGGACAAGCGCGAGCTAAGGGATGAGAAGGTCGACGTGAGGCGAAATGTGATACAGCTGGACTTCTTCTTCACCTACACAGGCGAAGACAGGCAACTGGACGACAAGCCACCAGAAAAAGTGGCAGAGAGGTCAGATCAATTTGGGACCTGTCTCATTATGACATCATCTGAGACCAAGGCAATCCACGTGGTCCCGGTCCCTTCAAAGGGAACAGCAAGCCTCAAGACCGTGATGGAGGAGGTCATCAGGTTTTCGCTGGAGAACTCATCGCGAGACCCCTGCATATTCCAAGGTGATTCAGAAAGGGCCATGAGGCAGACCCTCAGGACGGTCCAGCAAGTGAGGACTGTGATGGGCTTGCCATGTGAGATCAGGTTGTCATTGACTGGCAGCGGACAGCGTGAGTCAAATGGCCAAGCGGAACGTGGAGTGCAGACAATTCGGAAGCTGGCAAACTGTCTTCGATCGTTCGCTGAAAGCAAGGCATTCATCCAGATAGCCGGCAATTTCCACATGTTTCCATGGTCGTTTCGATATGCCTCCTTCCTGATCAACAGGTTTCGAGTTCTGGACAAGGTTGGCCGTGCAAGCTACGAGTTGGCCACGGGACACAACTACCGTGGGAAGCTGGCATTGTTTGGAGAGACCGTCATGTTCCGCAAGCTGACTCAATACAAGGGCAACAACACCTTTCACAGGGGCATCTGGGTTGGCAAGAACCAGTGGAATGATGCCCATGTCATCCTGACGCCCGAGGGAGCGTTCGAGTCACGAACGATTCGCAGGTTGGCCATGGAAGAAAGCTTAGTGGCAACAGATATGGTGATAGTCAAAGGACTTCCATGGTGATGAAGCACGGAGGCCAAGCCCAACGCTACAGACAACCGACTCCGGAAATGGAGGCCACAGAAGAAGAGATGAGGGTGTGCCGTGCCACACTCTGGATTGCGAACTGGGCATCAGGCCTCTCGCCAGCCATATACATGAATCTTCCGACCACGCTTCTGAACTTGGTGATGTCTGCGCCTTGAAGCTCCTCACTTGTGTCCTTCTTGGTGTTTTGCTCCAAGGGTGTCTTTCTGTAGGCCTTCTTGAAGACGTCAACATCCTTTGAGATGCTCTCGTACTGCTTATAGTCGCATCTGATGTCACAGTGTTCCTCCAGCAGTTTGAACTCGCGCTTCAGGTAGTGGAACCTTTCTCCCATGCGGAATGGTCCCTTTGCTTCCACATTCCACTTCATCTTTTCTTGTAGGAAGTTGCCGAAGTCTCTCAGCGCTCCTTCTCTGCCCACCATGAACACATCAACCACGTACGCTGTGATGTAGATTTCCCTGCGCTTCATGAGCAGTGTGGGTTGCGTGATGTTCTGGCTGAGTCCAAAGGCCTTTGCCGTATCAGCAAACAGGTTGAACCATTGTGAAGCTGCTGTTCTTTGGCCTGGCAAGCATCGGATCAGCCAGATCTTCCCATCCAGCTCAACGAAAGCTCTTTCTTCGTTTGGCTGTTCAGCCATGAGGAAGGCAGCTTTGATGCGCAAGGTCATTGCTGTGAACTCCTTGCAGACATTCAGCATCAGGTGGATGAGGAGTTTTGGTACCACAAGCATTGATGTGGGCGCGAACGTTTGCTCTAAGTCCACGCTGTTCTTGAATTGCCGTGCCACCACCCTGGCTCTCCTGAACCATCCACCTTGCTCCACTCGGTGTTTCCAGCAGACCACGAATTTTGTTGAGATGATGTATCCTCCTGAGTTGTGGACATCATTCTCACTTGCCTCTTCCATCACTGGGATCTTCTTCAGTCGACTCACCTCGTTTTCTCTGGCTTCCTTGTCCATCACCTTCAAATGCTCATCACTGGTGGGGCTCGTCTGCTTCCTCGGTGTAGAGCAGCTCCTCTGTGAGATCTGTAGGGATCCATTCATCTCCCATCTCCTCATCTCCGTGAGCCTCAATGGATTGCACTCCAGCATACTCAGGTGGATACAGTCTTGGGATCTTACTTGGTGATGATCTCCCTGGTTTCTCTTGCTCACCGGTCTCCCTTTCTCTCACGATCCCGGTTGGTAGGCTTGCAGTCTCATCTCCTTCTCGACCTCCTCTACATCGGGTGATGCCTCCTTGTCTAACTTCTTTGCTTCTGGGCCTTCTTCCTCTTCATGTTCAATTGTCCTCTTTGTCCTGGGCGTTGTCGAAGTTGGTGCAGGTGTCGTTGGTGCCGCTGATGTTAAACCTGGCATCCCTCAACTTGTAGGCTGGGCTTTTGATCCAGGTGCTGGCGTGACGACTCCGGCAGCAACTGCCTCTGTGACAGTGGCAAAGCCAACTCAACAAGCCTGGAAGACGGCGTGGCACGTGCGCTCATACCTTCAAGGCACTGAAGGCTTCGGCATCCGGCTCAGTGCAAGAGCAAAAGGACAATCAGTCATGGACACCCGAGAGATAGAAGAGGTGGAAGACAAGCAGATGCACCTGCTGGAGATTGTGACGGATGCTGACTATGCCGGCGACAAGAACGACAGGAAGAGCGCCACGTCGTTCCAAGTGTTGTTGGATGGCAACCTGATGGCGTCTTGAGTTCGAAGCCAAAAGAGCATCTCATTGTCCTCCGGAGAATCGGAGTTTGTGGCCATGGTAGGTGGCTGCTCAGATGGACTCTCGTTCGCCACCTATGGATGCAGATGACCAAGGAGGAGATTGAGATGAAGGTGAGATCCGACAGCTCAGCAGCGAGGGCCATGGTGCAACGGCAAGGAACAGGCCGGGTGAGGCACCTAGATGCCTCTCTCCTTTGGATCCAGCAAAAGGAGAAAGAAAAGACCTTGGCAGTGAGTCCCATCCCGACAGAGCTCAACTGTGCAGACATCGGGACTAAGTCACTGACGAGGAGAAGGCTCTTCGGACTGCTTTACATGTTGAAGATGGTAAACAGCTCAGGAGACAGGATTGGAACAGAAGAATTTCAGGAGCTGGAACACCGAGAGCAGATGAAGAAGGGCTTGAAGAAGGTCATGAAGGGCAAGAAGGAATTGCGCATCGGGCTACTGATGATGATGGCCAATATGGATGTAGCAGCAGGTTCAAGAACGAATGGAAAGGAAGGTGAACCAGAAAGCGAATGGCTCTGGTGGGCATTCTGCTCACTGGCGCTGATCGGGGCCTTGAGCTTGATGCAATGGTTGCGGCAAGGCATGATGAAGAATGTGATGATGAAAGGATGGAACTTCATGGTGGAGTTCATTGAGAAGGCGATCATGGAGATCACGAGGTACAAGGGCGATGGAAAGAATGAGAAGAAAGAGAAAAGCGCACAGACCACAGAATGGCTGGAAGTGAAAGTGATCAAGAACTACAAGGAGCAAGTGAGCGAAGTGCAGAATGATGTGAGCCGATTGGAACTTTACACAATCGAGCTTGAAGATATGTGAAAGACCGGAGACAGCAAAGACATGATGTCTTCAGGCAGTTTCAGCTCACTGACCAACATGGTCAAAGATTGATGCGAGAACGCCTGATGTATAGGACAACCAAAGGCAACCGCATCAAGATACATTTTAATCCAAACTGCCCACATTTTGCGGAAGTAGAGCCTACAGCACTATGCTCTAAGTGCGTGAGCGGAGGGAGTGTGATAGAACTCCATGAATAGGCAGCCGCTCACGCAAGGATGACGCGAACAAACCTAGGCCCAAGTCGTTTGAAAAAGGCCCACAGTTAGCTTTTCAAATATAGAAACCCATTGCCTCAACAGGAATGATAGTTTATACTGGTTTGCTTTAGTGGCGCTCGGTTTGGTGCTCAATGATTGATGTTGACAAAGTGATTGAGAGCATTAAACCACAGATCTACCACAGCTCTCTCGGTCATTAGTCATTATATAGTAGTGTTTGGATCATTCTGGACCTGCGCTTGCATATTTCATCATGTTTCAATTTTCCTGTGGGTTCCAGGATGGTGCTGGTTTCAACGATACCGAAGAGGACTTCAAGAAGAACTTTGTCTCCAGCGCCGCAGTTGTTGCAGTGGCTTTGGATTTGATTGTTGCGGTCTATTTGATGAATCGCCTGACTGGCCTGACAAGGTCACTCAGCTTTCCCACTTGGACTCGCCAGTTGGACTTGTACTTTCATGTTTCATAGATATATAAATATATGAAACCATATTAGACATTTTCTTGATTTGAATAAAGATTCTGCCTGCTTTGAGGCAGACGTGTGAGCGTGCATTGGGTTTGCCAATGAAATAACTCAACGTTGATGTGTATAAGCGGGGACTTCAACCAGTCTGTAAACTCACTGTGATCAAAGATTCGCAGGACTTGCTACGACCACGACTGTATCTATAGAAATATCTATGCGCAGACACTACAAGAAAAGGAAGGATGAGATCCGGGAACTTTGGCTGTCCATGTACAATTTGTCTCTATGGCAATACTGTAGAGTACAAACCATACAATGCCCGTCAAAACCGGCCGCCTGTAGTTTGGCTCTTCGGATGCTCATGTCTTGATGCTCATGTGAACTTTTCATGCGGGAGAAGGTTGTGCTGCCACACCTAGCCCCTCTTGCTGCGCTTTCTGCACTCTTGAATGCATTCTGCGAAATCTTGCAATTGTGTCCTTGAAAATGCTCCGCCAAAAAATGAAACCACAATCACAACCCCAGCAGCATTTCCCGCTGGTGTCTAAATATTGTCCAAGGATGAGCATTCTTTCAGGGGCGCAGTGTAGCGTGGTCGACATTTAGAAACTCATTTTTTCGTGGCTGGCGCGGCATAGTGGAAGTGGAAGAGATAGTGCAAGTTTTGTGGTGCTGGAGCAAGATACCAAAAGCAACCCCAAAGGACAGGCTTAAGAAGTTCCAAAGGACAGGCTTGCTGTTTTGGATGCCAGCCTAGATCCAGCAAAGGAACCAACAAGGAGCAATGATGAGTCAGCTTGAGAAGACATAGTGCCGATTTCGTTCATGTTGTTGGTGCAGACAGGGTCGGGGGGAGGGCGCAGCACCCCTCCCGAGAGCAAACCAACACGAAAAGACAATAAAAGCAACAAAAGCAACAAAAACAAAAAGACAAAGGAAAGAATAGCCAAAGGCAACAGGAACAAGTCCGAAAAACACACATAATTAAGAGAATGCTGACACTGGCTGTGGATGTAGAGGGTGCGACGCCTAAAAGGTTCTAAATACCAAGCAGGGAAATGTAATCAGTGACCCCCAACTGCTGATATTGGCTGGGGATATAGAGTCGTAGAGGGTGTATGTCCAAATGGTTGTAAACAGGCACCCAAACTGCTGTAAATAGCAGCGAACTGTGAGCCCCCAGGATACTGAAAAAACACATTCTTGAATAAATGACAACTTTCAATAGAACCCCCGCCCCTAAATATGGCCACTCCTTTTGTCAGACTTGGCATGCCACTCCTGCGGGCGCCGCGTTGGTTTGTCCAGGAGAATACATACATACATACATACTTTCAAATGAAATTGGTAGCTTCTCAACCCAGACAGTCCACTGTCCACAAAACTGGATGGTGCCCTCACCAATGCAATCAATGTTCATCCCACAAGATTGACCTCAATCTATACGAAATCCGGTATGATAGTCCAGGGTGTCCTCACCCTTCCCCAACACTGCGCAGCCAAGATCAGCCTTTCCTTTTCACAGCTGATCACGAGTCCTCATGGCTCAACGAACCTCACCGCACCCACCCCTTGATTTGGGCCGGTAGCATCGAACGGCATGGTTGAGCAACATGTGACCTGGAGATTCGACATACCCCAAAATTTCTTAGGGGTCCAACATGTTGCTGGACTTCCTTCAAAAGAGAAGTGATCGAGCAGGCAATCTTTGATAGCTATGAGTCTCCCCTAGGACAAAGATTTTTCCTTGTCATCCCCTGACTTCTATCACGATTGCTCTCCCAAGCAGTCAGGACGACTTGGCTTTTCCTGATTATTCTCTCTCAACCACTTCACACGGGTGCGGATGTCGGCTCGATGCTTGAGCATCTCTTGCTCGTCATTTAGTTTGTAGGTGCCTAGTTTTAAAATTCCTCGGAGCACCGTGTTGTCCATGATCTTCGTCAGTGAGTCAGCAAGCTGAGCTCCTGATGGAACCCATCTGAGGAGTACTCCGGTACCTAAATGCTCCTTGATCAATTTTGCTTGCAAGACTGTCCTAAATTCCGAGCATGATGGAGCTGCTGTTTTACTGATCAAATCAAACAAGGATTTGCAGTCTGTGGCTACCACGGCCTTTTCGGTTGGGATCTTCTCTAGCATCTTGTGTGTTTTGCATAGTGTTGCATTTGGACTCTCTAAGGTGTCATCCTTTAATGCTGAGAAGGCTGGAGGAAGCTTACTTAAAGTTTCATCTCCAAGTTTCCACTCACATCGATGATCCATCATCCATGCCCAAAAAAGGCGCACCCATGCAAGAGTGTCGACAGATCCGGCCAAGGACATTGCTTCGGCAGACAGTGTGCTTACTGCTACTTTCTGGGTTTTTCTCGCTGCCCAAATTATTGGATTCACCTTGCTTCTTTCGTTTTTGGCTACCTTTTCATCACATGCCATGATTAGCATTCCTTGGTGTGAGTTCAGTGATTTTACCGAAGCGAATGACGCATCTGAGAAAGCTATAAATCTAACTCTTTCATTTTGGATTGGTTGGTATTTCAATTTTACTTCTGCGAATTGCTTTGCCTCATGCAGTGTTCGGTTAGCATCTAGTAAATCCAAAACAGTTCCATTGTTGATTTTGGATTGAAGCTTTCCAAGTCTACTACATAGATCAGGTCGGGTGTTCACTGCTGCATACAGGAGACTTCCAATGACGGCTCTGAGGGACTGGCGTTCATGTTCGGCGATGGCTTCTGTCAACTGCTTCTTTCTTTCCACTCAGTGAGAGTTTTATGGGTTCTATTTCCTTCACATATTGGCTTTGATCTACATGGATTTCTCCATTCTCCTTTTGGGATATGTGTAAACCCGTGAAAATGAAGTCTCTGGTTTTCTGACTGCCAAACGGAAATCTCTTGGAAAGTTCTCGCAGCTTCTCCATCAGGTGGCTGTCTCCGGCATACAGTCCATCATCCACATGGACTCCGATCATGCCATGGTTTTGACCATTCTGGCCGGGAAGCGTGAAAACACATGGATCCATTGGAGATTGAACGAAATTCAATTCGAGCAATGCTTTCTTCAGTTCTTGAAACCACAATAGCGGAGCATCCGCTCTCCCATATGCTCCCTTAAGGAGTTGGAGTATCTCGGTTTTCTGCATTTGAAGTCTTTGTTGGAATTCTGTACAGGTTCGAGTCCTAGAACACGATCTTTGCTGGCAGTTCCCCTTAAAGATGCCGTTTTGATGTCGAACGAAGCGATCTCCCACTTCATGTTTGCAGTATACTGTAACAAAAGCGATCGGCCTAACTTGGTGAGCGTCCCGCTAAAAGGTGTAAGGTGGCCTGCTGGATCCACCATGCATGACAAAGGTTGCTTTTCCCCTGCAACTCTGTCATGGTCAAAAGAGACCCCATTACCTGAACCACGAAAGGCAGCTTGGCAAACCGGTTTGCGCGAAAGATCGTGTTCCAACTCCAGAACGTCATCAAAGTCTTCTTGGAGGAACCGGAACAGAAACCCCATGGTGCCTCAAGGCCTGTGACATGCCTATTACCCGCATGTGCCACAATGCCCTCAGTTTTCCTCCTTTTGGTGGGATCCTCTGCTTCCGGATTGGGTTGTTTGAGCAATCCGCGCAATTGGGATTTTTGCTCCTCTGAAAGGGAGATCCCCAAACTGGTAACAAAAGATTCGACCGCCATGGGGATTGGTGTCTCTCCAGCGGTGTCTGCGCTGACTTCAGCCGGCGGCGGTGCCTGGTTTCACAATCTTCATGTAGTCCTCAGACAGGGCCTTGAGCTTTTGTTGCCCTTCGGTCAACTTGGCTTGCAGGTCTTGCATGTCTTGCAACATGCTGGCGTACTGGCGTTTGGTGTGGTCCAGCTTGGTCTGGTGCCAAGTTGCAGGGATCAGCAACACACGCATGCGCAGAACAGTTTTGACAATCCTTTTGGCGTGATCAGCAACCAATGCCCCAAGTTTCAGACACCCAATTGCAGCAGTTTGCAACGATTGACACTACAAGCCTGGGTGCACATGGGCAGCCCTTTCTGGCCATGAGCAGCTTCTTTCTCACTCCAACCACTACCCCTGAGCAGCACCACAAGATGCAACAGGACTATGCCTCCACGGCTGACTCCCTGCTTCAAAATCTCTCAATGAGCATCGGCAACCCCAGCGCTAGGTGTTTTGCCAATGCGCCTTGGCGGGCCTTCACATGGACCTGCGCCCGCCTTGGGGCACACGCAACGTGATGCAGTACAAGAGCCCCTGAAACTCGCCGATCGATGCGATCGATCTGCAGAGCCTACCTGGCCTCCAAAGCCTCTGGAACAGGCGCGATCTCAACGTCCAAGGGATGCTAGATCTCTTTTGTGGCTCTTGTCACAGACCCGTGCCTTCCACTACAGGTACGAGATATGGGAAAGTGGCTACTTGGTTGACCATGAACCACTGCTGGTGGACTACCCCAACGACTGGCGTGATGATGCCACCTTCCAAGAGCTGATCAATGGCTGGGCCAATCAGGGCCTAGGCCAACATCTCGTGGATGACAAGCCGGTACTCACTCATCTGCCATGTCACCAGGAACACCTGCATTGATGGGGTCAACACCAAGCGCAACAAGCCTGTGAACCCGTATGGAGTCTTCAGGGTACCTCGCTCGTTGGATGGGTTTGCAGGGACTGCTTCTGATTTTGTTCCAGCGGCGCTCATATGCCATCGAGGCCCTAGCCATGAAACTGGGCACTATTTCGCCAGCCTCATCTACAAGGACTTGATGTGGTTGGCCAACGATGGACAAGCACTGGTCCACTTGCTGCGTGTGACACCAAAGTTGTCCAGTCAAATCAGCCAAATCTGGTCAGTAGTGAGGGGGGACACTTTCAGAACCACGCAACAACCTACCACCTCCTGACAAGCCAGCGCTCCACGAAAGTCCACCAAAGAAGGCGCGACGCAGTCAAGATCGGATGCGGTTGCGCTTTGGCAATGTGACCCACTTTGGGGGACAGGTCATTGACTGGTACTGGACCAGGGACAGTGAGGTGTACATCTTTGCTGAGACACATCAGCATCCGAGACTCATGGAGTCCTTGTTATCTGTCCATGGAGTGGTTGGCTCCAATTGCAACTGTGGGCAATATTCGCTGCGGTGTGGGTGCCATCTGTGCTTGCGCGGTTGTTTGCAGGTGTTATGTACTTGCCTTCATGACGTCCTGCCTTCTCATGGATGCAGTGCATTGGGTCTTTGAAAATGGCTTCAAGCACAACCAACAGGAGCGTGCGCCCACTCAGGATCATGCGCTTGCTCCAAGAAACGGCGGGGTGTGGAGTGTCTGTGCGCAAACAGGCCAATGAGGAGCTGTTCAACAGCTTTGCGAATGGCCACTCATGAAGCTTTCACGGATGGTCATAGAGGGCATGCTATACCCACAGACTGCGGCGACTGGGCAACAAGATCCATTGCACTTCGTGGTTTGCAGGCTGCTTGCGACCAGCAAAACCACCTCATCCTGACCACTCAACTGGCGCGGCAATCTCTGCGGACTCACCATCCACCACCAGGCAAGGCGCCCGCCTCCCATGAGCCAGCCAAGTTCCCACCTGAAGAGGCCATGAACCACAGCCATGCGGCTGGGAAGAGGCCATGCTGAAGGTGCAGAAGAAGAGACGTAAGAACATGATCCCTCCAGAAATCCGGCGACGCCAGATGACGCAGCTGCTGTGCTAACCGTGCGCCACCGGCCACAAAGGCCGCCAAGACTTGCTGCGGAGAGAACATACACACACATACATACATGCATGCATGCATGCATACATGCATACATACATGCATACATATGCACACATACAAACACATACATACATACAAACACATACATACATACATACATCCATGCATGCCTGCGTGCGTGCGTGCATGCGTGCGTGCATGCACACACACATACAGACATAATTATAATTACACACACATACACGCATACACACATACATACATACATACATACATACATACATACATACATACAACATAACTGTGGATTCTATTGCACTATTTGTGACATTTGTTAATTTGGTCGGTTGGTTGTTCCTCATTTGGCCGCAACTTCGGATCTTGATTCCAGGTCAGCCAAGCAAGCAGAAGTGACATCTGCCCAGGAGTCAAGCGAAGAAAAAGTACCAGACCCATTTCACACTTGTGAAGCTGAGTGTTGGCATGAGTCGCAGTAGCACTAGCTCCTGAGCCTGCCTGCCAGTGGCTCGAGGCCGAAGTCCAGGCAAGCAACAGTTGCGCAAGCAGCGTTCGGTGGGGTAATTCCTGCAAGAAGAGCTCAAAGTAGAAGCTGTTTGAAAATAGTGACATCTATATATCTGCCTGTGCATCCGCATCCCTGCCTACGTACCTATCAATCTATACATACATCGCCTCACCTCACTTCACCGTACCATACTATACCGGCACACCGCCAGACATAGAGATAAGCAGTTAGACAGCCATACAGCCCCACATTCACGTACACATGTACGTGCGACCTACACACAGATACACAGACGCAGACACACACACACATATTTATGTATACGCAAGCTGACTGCTAGGATTCATCGCAGACCGGACTTCACCATGGCTGAGGCTGAGGCGGTTTATTCACTTGTATTGAGCGCAAGCAAGCTTGTGATGCTTTCTCTGACTGAAGGCCATGCGTGCAGGGATACTTTTCAGCACGACCCTTCACAACTAGTCAATTTTGGGGCTGTGGCGTGTTGAAATTTAAGTTGGAAGGCGGACGGATTCAGCTGTAGGGAGAGGCCGTGTCACTAGCCCTTCGTTTTGCTTTGGATTGGTCCAGACGCAGTGCAAGCCGAGAGTTTGCGCAGAACTATTCGCCATGAAATCTGCAAAACATCTGGGGTAGAAGTTTTTACGGAAAGCGCAGGAGCCCCTGCCCAGCATCCTTATTGCGTCCTCGGGCGGAGTGCGTGGGCGTGGTCGTCGGATATGGCCCCTCGAAGAGGCCACGTGCCGAGAAGCAAGCAAAGCCTCAAGTTGGTCGAAGCAAAGCGGAAGATGGGACAAGATTACGATGAAAAAGGTCTCGTGCGATGTGTGCGCGTGTCAAGCACGAGCCATTGTAGCTGCACGCACCATGTCTGGGCAGCCGGCTCGGGAAGCGACCACCTCCAGCTCATCGAGCCCGTGAACGAGGAGACCGCGAGGAAGAGGACAGGTTTGAGGAAGATCATCGTGAGAAGAGAAAGAAGCACAGAGGAGGCAGCAAGCATCAATAGCATACAAAAAGGCACGACGACGGGCAGGCGAGGACGACGCATCGCCCGTTGGGACGTGAATTCTAGGCAGGCCGCCCCGCGGCCATCCGAGGAGCCATAGCTCAGCCCCCAGATTCGACTTGAGGACACATCCGGAAGCGATCGAGTCAGAGGAGTTCAACGAAGGCGACATTCTGGAGGTGTTGGATTTAGGCGCTCCAACCAGTTGTCATCTACCGTGGTCTGCAAGGCAATCGAATCAAACAGACAAAGGGGTCTGGACATGGATGCCCTCACCGATTCCAACCGCAAACCCTTTCCGTTTGTTACGCGGAGGTGAGGGTTCAGCGAGCCAGCTGCGCGAAGCAGTGCTGCTTTCCTTCCAAAGCACGGTTCTAGCTTTTCGAAAAATACAACGCGTGGAATCGTTTTGAACGCAGCAAAGAAGGCGTGCGCCTGTCCATGTGCTGCACCTCTTACCAAGTCTGTCAGTGCCAGGGGCTGTGGATCCTCAAGCAAAAGCAGCCCACGCGATCGAAGTGCTGCCCCACGCTCTGCGCCAGCGCGTCATCCAAAACGCCCGCCCGCTGGGCCATTCTCTGGCGAGCGTCAAGGCACTCTGCCTGTCGGCGGCGGTGTGGGGGCTCATCGCACCCGGAAATGAGTGGCTTCGGAATGATTGCTTCGCTCACACCGGTCAGGACCTGCGACCTGGTGTTTCCTAGGTTGCTGCACCGAGTGCCAGTTCTGGTTTCATTTTTGGCGTAGCTCATCACTAGTCTCTTTTTCAGCGTCCGCGCTACGTTAAAGATCTCGGCCGTGGTCAAGATGGCGAGCCGCTCTCCTTTTCGTTATGTCGACCAGGAGTGCGCCGATGCACTTAGCGTGACAACGAAGTAGCAGACAGAAGGCGCCAAGTATGACGGAGAGAGCGGCAATGGGCTCGTGTGTGATTCTTTTGATGCGTCGCCGGAGTGCTGAGCACACGCGTAGACACGGGCCTATGGAACACCACCCCCATCTTCGCAATGTCGGGTACTGCAGGTTGTGCTTGGAGATATGCCCTGATTGTTAAGTAGCTGAGTTCTTTCTATGCACCCAAAGTAGCCAACTGGAGGTTGCTTGACAGTTGTGCGCAGGTGTGTTGGGTTCTGATATATGTGGCTTCATATGTATAGCGTGGAGTATAGCGTGGAGTGGACTGAGCCTGAAAGGCTGTCCCGGAGACTTACGAGCTTGCAAGAATAGGCCATTTTATTTTTGATACAGTTTTCTGCAGCTTTGTCTCGCAACCTGGGCCAGGCACCTTCCTCTCTTGCTTCCCTTCGGCGTTTGGCTGTCCACGACAGGAGCGGGCCCTTGCAGTTTCTCCAGAGCTGCTGGGCGATGCGAAGCATCCTGAGGGGTCAGGAAGCAGCAGGGTGAAACTGGAGAAACCAAGCACATACCTACGGAATTCTACGGAAATTGAAGTTTACAACCTTGGTCTAGGACGTGTCTTTGTCGCCCGTGCTTCCATAGCGGAAGACAAGTAGTCTGAGATATGGCGCGGAGCGCTATAGCGCCTGAAGAGCTGCGAGCATATCGTCTACTTGGTGGGAGGGATTCTGCCTTTTGCATTCTTGCATTCTGAGGAAGCACTGCAGACATGGCTCAGGTGCTAGTTACCGCAGGCGCAGTTAAGCCTCATGCGCGCCGCCAATCACCTCGCCCCAGCAACGCACCGAATTTACACCAGCGCGTTTCCTTCCTCCAATGGCGCGGACTCGCGCAAACGCACTTTCCCCGAGGCCGCGCAACACAGGGGCCTGTGCCACAGACTAGATACAAACGGACTCCATGGCGCCGCGACGTCGCAGACGTAATTTGGCCGCACGGTGTGCCACAGACTAGATACAGCAATGTAACGCCAGGCCTCGGCGCCGAATTTACATCGTCGTGTTTGTTCTTCCCCAGCGGTGTGGACTCACGCAGCTAGACGCACTTTCCACCGAACTTGGGCAAAACCGCGTGACGCAGCGACAATCATCTAGCGACGTCCCGAATTAAATTTACACCATGCAGGGCCAGCATGTTTTCCTCCCCCAACAGCACGCGCTCACGCAAACACAGACGGAATTTGGACGCGCCCCGCATTGCATTTGTGCTACAAAGTTGCCAATGTTGCCACTTTTGCAGTTGTGACGCCACAGCTCCCAGAAGCTCCCCCTCTACATTTGCACTACCAAGTCAGAGCTGGCTAGTTCTCAAGCCACCTCCCAGAATGCATTGCCCTTCTCAGGACAGAGGCAGCTGCTTCCCGCACTACACTTGTACCCGCGCTGCAGTTATTTCTACTACCAAGTGGCCACACTGCATCTTTTTGCTACCAAGTGGCCAGTTCTGAGGCCAAAGCTTCCCGCGTTATAATATCTGTACAACATTCCAAGACAGTTACGCATTTTCGGGCCACCTCCACCATCGTTTTCAACGACTAGTATGTACCAGACACCACCCGTCGTTTTCGACGACAGTTGCGCAATTTGGCAACTTCCACGTCGATTTTCGACGGCGATTCCGCGTTTTGGAAACAAAAGTTGCATCATGTTTGAACGGTTGACGCGCACAATCTCCAGAGGGGTGTCCCAATGACAATATCGCATTTCGCCTCACGTTCGTGCCGCGCGATCTCCGCAGAGGGTTCGCCCAAGAACTACAGAATTCGCGCGCTCGACGCGCGCGATCTCCGTAGAGGCCACCCACGCAGAAATCGCATTTCGCCTCGCGGTTGAGGACTTGACGCGCGCGATCTCGCGGAGGGTTCCCCGGGCCAGAGGACGACGTGCGAGTTTCGCACATTAATACCTGTCTCAAAACACCTGTATCTTTGTAGATGTCATATAGTAGGTGTTGGCCCTGCATCTGTGCGACTTCATACGCTGATGATGATGATGATGATAATGATGATGATGATCATGATCATGATCATGTTCATGATGATGATCATGATCATGTTCATGATGATGATAGTGGTGATGATGATGGTGATGATGATGATGATGTTGATGATGATGGGAGTATCGCTGATGTTGAAGGAGATGACAGTGGTGCTGCTGCTGCTGAATGATGATGATGATGGCGATGATGATAATGGTGATGTCGATGATGGGGCACTGACGGTGATGATCATGACCGTGCTGATCCTGCATGTGCTTGCTGTATAGTAGTTCAACAGTTGAAGTTGGTAGCCCTTCTTGAAGGAGAGCCCTTCGCAGATGTTTTTTCGGGCAAAATGTTTGAAAAGGTTTGAAAGATGTGAAAAGTTCAAGGTGGGATGTATCAGACATACGTAGGTCTGCAATTGAACCTCAGACTTGCAAATTCTTTAGCTTTTCATACCTTGGTCGGTGTGTGGCAGGAGGCTTTCACATCGTTCGTGCTTTTACCCTGAGTGTGTGTGTGTGTGAGGTGAGTGTGTTGAAGTCTTGACTGGATGATGGGTGAGACGAGCGCCCAGCGAGTGTCGCAACGATTTATGGGCGCCCCGTGAGACACCCTTCCGTTTCTCCCTTGCGTTTTGTATTTGGCACGGATCTCAACGCCGTGGAGCTTTCCCCTCCCACGCGGCGGTGTTGGGCCATTCAATGTTGAGAGTGTGCGCAGAGGGTGGCGGACTCGACTCAATGTTGAGTGTTACGTTTGGTTTCATACGCAGGGCCTCGCAGCGCCTTCTGTCCGGGGCCGCATACAGCTTGGACCCTCTGCTTGCAACTGTGTTGATTGGGGCAAATGAAAGGCGGCGCCGCTCAGGCTTGCAAAGTGGATGCAAGGGGGAAACCATTTCTTGTCTGGCTTGGAGGACGCTTTGTGTTTAGGTTTGTTCAGACCTGGGGCGTGTGCATTCTTTGCATTGAGCGCGCGGGGTAGGCGTTTTCACACATTTGGGTCACCTTTCTGTTTGACAAGAACAAACACAGCGGTGAACTGAGACCTTCTGCTGCGGCTTGACTTTGATACAGCATTCGGCCGACCAGGTAGCGCATCATTCTCATCCAGTTCGTTCTTGAAGTCCGGGCCTTATAGCTCGAGCGCAAAAGAGGGTGTATGTAAACATCTCTATATATATATATACATATAGATACCACCACCACCACCACCACCGCCGCCGCCGCCGCCGCCACCCCCACCACCACCGCCACTACCACCACCACCACCACCGCCACCACCGCCACCACCACCACCACCACCTATGAAAATTCACGTGGGCTCAAACACAAAAGAAAACCAAAGTTGAAAACTTGGTACACTTCTTGATTTGCCGATGTTCGAATTCTTCGAATCGATTCCGTCGGCCTGCCCTCCCACGCGCCCCAGTGCAGTCTGTTTTGCTCGCACTTGAGCCACAGTACGTGGCGCGACGGTCAACTTCGAACTCCGGCCAAAAGCAATGACCATGGTTGGGATTGGCCATTGCAGCTCTCAGGTCCGCTAGTCTTGGGCGAAGACTAAGGCCATTGCCCGTTGACTCTGGTTCACTTTATCGATTTGTGCGTGTCATCCGCACTGTAAAAACACTCGAGCTCCCACATGCGGTGCAATGCAATGCTTGGTACCTTGGAAGGGACATGTAGGTGTCTAACTTTCACACCCCCCGAGGCGCAGCTTGCATTGTTCCTGAGTTGAAAGCAAACAAGAACACAAGTTAGGGGCCGTACTGGTTATCAGCCTTCGAGTTATGAGCTGTATTCACGTCGCTTCGCGGCGGTAACCGCCCGCACCGCATGGAAGGGGACAATATTTCCACCGAACATAGCCCCGGAAGTGACCCCCCCTTTCATGTTTCGAGATAGGGATTTAACATGGCCCAACGTAGTTGGGGGGTTAAATGCCATGTTTCACCCTGTAGATAGAACGAAATTGTGAGTCGGTGCGCGCATTTTGATTCGGCGCAAAAGGTCATGTTTTGCGTGCGCGAAGCGTTCAGCTCCCCTGGACAGAGCTCGATTGTGCTACCCGACAAAACGCGCAGCCATATGACAGGTGTGGTCCCATGTTGCACCTACCTGAAGCTATCTAATAGGACGTATGTTGGGGGTTTTTTATTCCAGTTTACGACGTTCAAATCCCTATCCGCAGACGTCCTTTAGATAGTGACTTCTAGGGCGATGTTAGGCAATATCTTCACTCTATTCCAGTCCCATTTAGCCTTCGTTGGGACATGTTTACCACGTTCAAGTACCTATCTCAGGGAAGCATACTTGAGATAGTGACTTCTGCGGTTATGTTCGACCATATGGGAGCTATGCTCGTGAAATAATGTTACCGTTCCTGGACCTGATCTGCTTATCTCTGCTCCTGTGGAGCCAAATCGATGTTAGGCAATATGGAAGTGGAGAGGGTGTTTGCGACGTTCGGGGCCCTATCTCCAGAAAACATACTTGAGATATTGCCTTCGGGGGCTAGGTTCGATCATATGGAACTATGCTCGTGAGAAAATGTTACCATTCCTGGACCTTATCTTTCCTTATCTCTGTTCCTGACCACCATTCCTGAACCTTATCTTTCCTTATCTCTGCTCCTGACTAGCCACGTACCCGCACGTTCAAGTCCCTATCTCGAGGAGACATGCTTGAGATAGTGACTTTGCAGGCTTTTCCAGTCCCTTTTGAGCCCTCGTTGGGCAATGTGTACGACGTTGCAGTCCCTATCTCGAAGAAGCGCGCTTGAGATAGTGACTTCTGAGGCAATATCTTCACTCTATTCCAGTCCCTTTTGAGCCTTCGTTGGGCCATGTTTACGACGTTCAAGTACCTATCTCGGGGAAGCATACTTGAGATAGTGACTTCTGGGGTTATGTTCGACCATATGGGATCTATGCTCGTGAGATAATGTTACCATGCCTGGACCGTATCTTTCCTTATCTCTGCTCCTGACCAGCCATGTACCCGGACGTTCAAGTCCCTATCTCGAGGAGACATGCTTAAGATAGTGACTTTGATGGTGACTTTGCAGGCTTTTCCCGTCCCTTTTGAGCCCTCGTTGGGCAATGTTTACGACGTTGAAGTCCCTATCTCGAAGAAGCGTGCTTGAGATAGTGACTTCTGAGGCTATGTTAGGCAATATCTTCACTCTTTCCAGTCCCTTTTGAGCCTTCGTTGTGCCATGTTTACGACGTTCAAGTACCTATGTTGGGGAAGCGACCATATGGGAGGAGATAATGTTGCCATTCCTGGACCTTATCTTTCCTTATCTCTGCTCCTGACCACCTTATCTTTCCTTATCTCTGCTCCTGACCAGCCATGTACCCGGACGTTCAAGTCCCTATCTCGAGGATAGTGACTTTGATAGTGACTTTGCAGGCTTTTCCAGTCCCTGTTGAGCCCTCGTTGGGCCATGTTTGCGACGTTGAAGTCCCTATCTCGAAGAAGCATGCTTGAGATAGTGACTTCTGGGGCTATGTTCGATCATATGCACGCTCTGCTCTTCGATGTTTAACAGTCTTTCTCGAAACAAGTGCTCTAGTGCTCATCATCAGTCACGCACTTATTGCATTGCTTGCAAGCCATGAGCAGCCGATTCTGTGGGACTCGGCAGCCATCGAACCGGTGCAGATGGGAAGCGTGCTCATACGAAAACACGAAGATTTCTGTGTTTCGGCGAATGCCGGATCGGGTGCACACAGAACACATCTTCACGGCAATCAAATCACTCCACAATCACGAATGTGCGACTTGTTGCCAGCTTTCTTCGTGAAGTAGTAGGCGGTAATGTCTCGCTGGCGCTCCACGGGGGCTTGAGGAGGTGGCGTCGATGGCGTCAATGACAAACTCACCTCGGTTACTGGAGTGGTATTTTCCACTGACCCCCTTCCTCTTCACCATTCTTCGTGCCCTTGGACTCTGAAGTCTCCACATCCATGGACACCTGCTCCCATTCTTCATTCTCTTCCACACTGGCTCCTTTGCTCACAATGCTGGCGGACTTTTCTGCCTTCTCCTCTGTCACCTGGTGAGTGCTCGATGTTCCACTCTTCATTGGCATCTTCGAATTCTGGTCAGTCGAGCTTCCGGCTTGCGAATTGGTGACATGGATTTCCACGGTTCCACCGCTGCCCTCCACATCAACCTTCACGCGAATGCCCGACATCGCTCTCACCGTGCAGCTCTAAACACCTGTTGAACGTTCGTATGAACAAGTGTAGATTGTTCGACGAATCGTGATTCATGCGTATGATGTCGAATTGTATCCATATGCATGGAGTTTTAAGCTAGTCAGTGCACTATGTCTTTTCTGTGACTGCAAAGTGGTCGGACCAACCGATCCTACATGCCGCTCGATCAAGTGTTATGCGCGGATATCCATCGATCAATCCAACCGAACAAAAGCTCATCTCGAGATCTACGGATTAAGGATTCATTTCATACCTATGGCTTCTGCGTGCTGAACCACTTCACAATCGACACTGCCAACCCCTTAGGATATTCCCCAAGTTTGGACAGCTCCTGACTGTTCAGTGACATGAGGCTTTCGCGCTCGCAACACCTTGGCATGAACATTGAACAACTGCTAGCGAAACGGTACCTGTGCAAAGCTGACGCATCTTGTTCACTCACGTATGCGCATCTTGCGATGTCCACGATGAACCTCAATCCATGAAATCGGCAGAACGCCTGGACCGATTAGTTCTCCCAGTAAGAACACTTTTGCGACATCTCAAGCACTTTAAAATCGCAAACGCTGACAATTGGGTGACTCTTCAACAACAGTCCCTCAAAGTCTTTCAAGTGTCCTTCTTGGAGCTCTGCGCGCCTTGGCTGAGGTATCAGATTCAATACCGGTGACCCTCCTGCGCAAGGAGGTGATGTCCAGGCCAAAAGCAATGTCTCAACTGAACTACCCATGAATGCAACAGTTTGTGAACACAACGTAAATCAATCTCTGTGGTGACAGGAACGACAACGCAATGACCTGATTTGACAGAACTGATACCCTGGGGCAACCCTGCGTTCAAATTGGTGCACAACTCAATGATGACATGGGTCACGCTCCATCCGCATGGACATGACGCAGAAAACTCTCAAAATCTTCAAGCCCTCCAACCGACAGGTCCTTCCCTGACGAAAAAGTTGAAAGGTCTTCAACACTCGGATCATCATCATGGACTTCGACGACCTGAACATCAGATCTCTTTGGTTGTTTCTTCAACTCTTTGTTGGTGATCGCCTGCCATTCTTCTTGTCCCAAGATCTCAATGTTCCCAAGTTGGGCTCTATGGAAATCATTCGTTTCCTTCGACAGCACCTTCGTCAGCAAATCTGCGGTGCACTTGGTCCCTGGCAACCATTATTCCAAAACAAGGTTGCCTGAATCCTTCAACGATTGAATGTAGCAAACCGAAGTTGACATGTGTCGAACTCTCCTACTCAACCCCTGGTTGCTCAAGCACCAAGGCATGACTGAGAATCTGAGAAGATCAATATTGGGTAATGGTCACCTGGCTTGCCAACATCATCAAATTTCAGCTCTAGAAACTCTTTGGTGGACACCTTCATCGACAGATCCCCAAATTCGGTCAAACGATGAATCCCCAAACACTCTTGTGTAAGCTGACACACTGCGATGATCTCTGCTTCGCAAGATGAAAGAGTCACACAGCCTTGCAATCGACTGAAGCCTTTCACCACACCAGAGATCCCTGCCAAAAGATCAATCCTCCACTCGTTGATCGACGTCGCTCAAGGTCACTAGACCCCCAAGAGGCATCACTGACACCGACCAAGCCATCATATTCAGGCGACGCATCATTTCCTGCAGGAAAACGTTGAAACATGCAACTGGCTCCTCACATACCCAAGGTATTTGCGAAGCGCAGTCTCATGCAAATTACTGGGCGTCGCCTGTCCAGTGGCAAGGATGGAGAGAAAGCGGGATTGATCAGGCCTCGACTGTGCCCACCACGACAACTTCCCGATGATCCTTTTGTATCTTAAAGCTGCTTCATCCGGCAAGGGCTGCACACATGCTGGATCCTTGATTCCCTTCTCCAGAACTTCCAACAGATTTGGGGG